GTATAAGTAGTACACGTACACACACACACACACACACACACACACACACACACACACACACACACACACACACACACACACACACACACACACACACACACACACACACACACACACACACACACACACACACACACACACACACACACACACACACACACACACTTTTGAGCTTTAAATGTTAGGAACATTGCTTAGTGTCCTGTCCTACATTTTTAAACTTCATAAAGCTAATCATGGTGTCTCCATTGTGTCTTATGGTTGTACTTGTATTTCTCACTGTTAAATTATAAAATGAACTGAAATTAATAGATTTTTTTGCCTCCAAAAGATGTGCATAGCTTTCATTTCTAAAATAATTAAATGTAGGTGATGCTCTGCCTCTCAGCTTAATATATATGCATCTACCTGCCAGACACTTTCCGTAAGAAGCCTCGCAGCACGAGCCAGGAGACTTTTTTTTGAACTAACAATGTTCTGTGAGATTTCTCCTGGTGCAGTAATAAGTCTGTCTGAATTACATTATACGATACCTAGGGGCCAAAACATTAGTATGAATTATTTTTGGTGAATTAAGGACGGGGAAAGGATTTATTTTTTAATATAAAAAGTTAATATTTGTGAAATTAAACCCTAAGAAAAGTGCTGTGTGGTTACCTTCATCACAGGAAACAGGCCGACGTCGCACATGGACTCACATCTGCCGTCTGAGAGAAGGTATCCAGGAGAGCAGGAGAGACAGGAGGCAGCGTCTCTACCTGTGGATATATGACATCAAGACAACATAAGAAGAACTTTATTCATCCCAAGGCCAACTGTTTGCGTTGCAGCAGCATAAAAAGACAAGTTTGTTTGTTTTTGTTTTGTTTCTTTCCCTCAACTGTCAAATGGGAACTAAGTCTTTTTTGTGTTTGTGATTGGCTGTGAATAAGAAAAGATACACCCCAATAACATGAAAGTATTTTACTCACTCACTCGTTTGAATGGTTTCCCTGTGTGATTCTTACTCGCTAAAGTTCAGATTAGAATCAGAAGATAAGATAAGAAGAACTTTATTCATCCCAGTGCCACATGTTTGCGTTGCAGCAGCATAAAAAGACAAGACATTGTTAATTAGAGAAATTAGAAATAAACAATCCAAAATGTTAACATCTCAAATTGAAATAAAATAGCATTAAAAAAGTAGGAAATATAAACGTTGAGATACAGATTTACAGTAACAACATATAAAGCAAGATATTATATATATACATTCATATCCTGTATTGTATTTTCTATTTAACTATTAATGCTATTTTATTTCTATTTCAGAAATATTTTGGACTGTTTATTTCTTGTGTCTTAATTTCTCTAATGTTCATTGCCTTGTTTTTTTATGCTGCTGCTACGTAAACATTTCCCAAATTGGGATCAATAAAGTGGAGACACTTGGAGGGGAGTGATTGGGAGGAACGGCCCCCCTGATCTGAACCGGAGTGGTGGTTTGTTACTGGACTTCTGTGCTAGTCATGGATTGGCCATAACAAACACCATGCCGGGATTGTGCAGGTAGTCAGACTCAGTTGTTGCAAAGGGTAGGAACGACAATGTGTCGAACCCTACCAAAGGGGGACCGAAGGGGGGGGGGGGGAGGGAACTCACCAAAGGACCTGTCAAACAGGTCTTGTTGAAAACCACGGGCGGGCTTTCAGAACAAAGGTACAGAAGAGGCTTGAAGAGGTGTGGGCGACGAAACGGAGCTGGTGCCGACTCGACGACGGAAGCCGGGACAGCGATGACGGTGACGGAGTCCTCCAAAGGGTGGGCCTATTGTTTAGGGAACGTTCCGGAGGAAGAAGTCAGCCTGCGAAGGGACTGGTGGACGACAGGTGGTCCTCAAACTCCAATGGCCGGGGACCTCCGTGGATCCTGGAAACTCTGGTGTCGAGGGCGCGTCCGGAAGCGTTAATCTCCAAACTGCGTGGCTGGTGAGACCCAAGTTACAGGGGTTGAGGTGTCCTACGTGGCTTTTCGAAGGCGGCGCTCACACTCAACTCCGGGAAGGACTGGAACCCGGAGGAGGTCTGCAAAGGGTCAAGTGGGCTTGATGTGCAAACCTGAATGGTCGCAGTATAGGTCTCCCGGAAGGGGCGGTGAGCTGGGTTGAGTTGTGGTCTACCACTCAAGTCAAAAAAAACTGTTGAGCGGGGAGAGCAAATGGGCCACAGGTTTGTATGCCGGAGTCCAGGCTACTATGCCTATTGTTTTAGCATTACCGGAACGACGGCATCCGCACGAGACCTATGTGATGTGATACTCGTAGGAAT